TGTTAGAAGATATCAATAGATCCCGAATAAACATCCAACAAGGAATGATTACGTCTTTACAAACTCGGCGTCTCAATACCAATGTGGGCCATCAAAAAAATCAAACTCCCAAATCCGGGTTCTGAATTCCATTGGAAGTTTCCTTCTTTATATCCTAATTTTACCACATTATCACTACTGAACGAAAAGTACTTTAAACAAAAACTTAAAATTGGTCAATGCAAATGTCTTTCTCGGTAAAATTACCTCATTTTTATGTTTTACTGAAAAAATTAGTGATTTTATTCACTTGATTAGCATTTATTTTAAGTATTAAAGATGATTGCTTATTGCTACATATCCTTATTCTCTAAAAAACAAAATCTTTAAAAACTTTTCGGAAAAAAAAATAATTTTTTTTTTAAATTTATAACCTTTTCCGGGGAAAAATCATCCGACTCCAATAAGAATAGTGCCTACATAGCGTGTCCTTTGGTATTGCTGTCATATTAATAAAAAAATTGATTGGGAAATATGTTTAATCAAACCATTCACATGTGTTTGTGTGTTGTGTGTGTTAGTGTATATGTGTTTGCGTTTGTGTGTTTATGCATGTGTGTGTGTGTAAGTAGGTGTTTGTGTGTGAGTGTGTATACAATAATGATGGTGATAATATGAAATGACCAGCGCTTGTGGAATTAATTTTTTTAATGGCAAGCATCTCTCAAGGTGAAATTAAATCAAAAAGTAAGAAAAAAAAATGCAATCAAACCGATGAACTTTGGAAAGAGTTTGGAGGAATAGAAACAAAGATAGATATCTAGAGGGAAACACCTGAAGATATATCAATTTTATTTTGATACTATCAATTGATACTATGGATAGATATCTAGAGGAGAAAACCTGAAAATTAAATCAATTTTACTTTTATACTATCAATAATAACAACAATAATGAAAGATATACTGAACATTATTGACAATCAGATGAATAATAAAAGTATTAATGATTAATAACTTGATAACTTGGTAGAAAAACAACTAACTTAATCATGTGTAAGTGAAATATAAAATGAAAAAACATCAAAAACCCGACACCACATAAATAAATCCCTAGGGCTTCAAACTGCAATTCATCAATAAAAGCATTTTCAGCCAAAAAAAAGACTCGTATCTAAATTTGCTTCATATATGGAATATATATTCATGCTACATTACGTAACGAATGTGCGCTAAGGTAATTGTTAATGGTTAGTTAGAAAAAATTGTTTCATCAAATTAAAACAACTAAACTTTTCAAACTTTAACACACATACACAGACAAACAAAGCAATGCAGACACTTAAAGGCATACACACACGTACATACACACGTAGACACATGCACATATAATAATCAAGGCATAAACTCACACACAGCAACAAACCAAGCACACACTAATCCACATACATACAAAATACCAACACACACACACACACACACACACATGCATACATACAAAAAGAATCAAACAACTTTTGTATCTATTGTTTAAACCATACTCACAACAATTTAAAAATCTTAAGACCATGTCATTTTCAGTCCTTTAGAGTCATTCATTTCTTGAAGCTCCCTGCTTTTAAAAATACATTTATTCTATTTTTATTAACCAAATACAAAAAATAAAAATATACCTTTATAAATATAACAGAAAACATACATACATGCTCATAAATATACCGCTCGTAAAATAAACACATGCAAACACACACACACACTAAAAAAAACAAACATACTCACGCAGAAACAATAACACACGTGCAAAAACCACTTATTATTTCGCAAAACGAACCCATGCCACACACTCACATACACACACACAAATACACACACACACGCACACACACACACGTTAAAGAAAGCTCTTTTATTTAGCAATTGAAGGGTGGAACACCCGAATAAGAAAGATAAAGAAGAAAGGAAGGATTGAATGAAGGGATTAAAGATTATTAAGGATTAACCTCGTATCTCTATATACTTTTCTCTCTCTCTTTCTCTCTCACTCTCACTCATTTCCCCTCTCTCTCTTTCTTTCTCCAATTAATTCAAATTCATTTCAGTTCAATCTTATCCGCGCCATGCAATTTGCGTTCTACTTGTTTATTTATTTATTGCGGTGAAAAACAAAAATAACGCACGCGATAACGACTGAAAACAAAAAAGAGAAAGAAATAAAGAGAGAGAGACAGATAGAAAAAGAGAAAGGGAGAGAAAAAGATAGAAGGAGAGAAAGAGAGAGAGAGAGAAAGAGAAAGAAAGAGACAAAGATAGAAGGAGAAAAAGAGAGAGAGAGAAAGATAGAAGGAGAGAAAGAGATAGAGAAAGATAGAAGGAGAGAAAAAGAGAGAGAAAGATAGAAGGAGAGAAAGAGAAAGAGAGAGAAAGAGAAAGAAAGAGACAAAGATAGAAGGAAAGAAAGAGAAAGAAAGAAAGAGAAAAAGAGAAAAGGGAAGAAAGAGAGAGAGAAAGATAGAGAAAAACCGGTGCAAGAATTCCTGGGTTGGTTGACCCTTTATAATCTTGAATGTGCACTGAGACAACTGTGAGAGCATAAGAAGCACATGCCAGTGTATAAACAGGAAATGAAAAAATTAGATCACGGAATCAATTTGATTGGAGAAATTGTATTGCAAAAGAGAAAAAAAAGTAATGATGAAAATTTTTATTCATTTATTTTCACTGTTGAATTCCTGACAAAGCCAGACAAGTTTTTATTAGGTTATAGATTGACGACCGTTTCATCTGCTGGTAATATCTCCTTTATATAAAAAAAAATTACCAGCACAATATTTTTGCTGGCTAAGAACCTTCGTTTTTCTTATTCGTTGGCTACACCTCTCATAATAATAATAATTATTATTATTTTTATAAATAAAAATTATTATTATTATTAATTCTCTTTCAATTAACACACATTGCACAGGAATACGGTCACAACAACAATAGCAGCACCAGGTAGGGCACCTCTTAGCGATACCATCTTGCTATTTCCACCAGCGATACCATCTTGCATTTTCCAAACAAAAATACTACAACAACAGTCCATATAACAGCCGTTCTATTATAAATAACACGACCCATTATAACACATTTCTGGCACATTTAGTCCGCTCAATGAATAATGACAAACCCGTCAAAATGGCCAACGTGATAGAATAGCCGAGTTACTTTTAATTGATTTGCACTCAAAAGTGATAGTCATGTGCTTTGTTTGGTGTGTTGGTTTGGTGTGTTTGTTTTGTGTGTGTGTGTGTGTGTGCGTGTATGTGCGTGTGTGTGTGTGTACGTGCGTGCGTGTGTGTGTGTTTTGTGTTACAAACGTGATTGTTGGAAATTATGTTATCAAAACTTCTTTTTTAATTTTTTTTGCTGAATTTTAAAAAGGTTATTAGCGCGATGAAATTAGTAACCAAACGACCAACCAACCGTCCAACCAATTAACCAACCAACCAATCAACAAAACAGCCAGCCAGTCATCCAATCAGCCAGCCAACCAACCAGTCATCCAACCAGCCAGCCAACCAACCAACCGACCAACCAGTCATCCAACCAGCCAGCCAGCCAGCCAACCAACCAACCAACCAACCAGATGCATGCACGTCGCAGAGGCTCAATATTCTGACACGTTTTGATCGAATGTAATATTATTATTTGAAAAAAGAAACAAATATGTATATGAAGTAGAAGTTGGTGCTTAGACATGCAAAAGTATTAAAAAAATAGGCAACTACACATACACACATACATACAAACAAACAAGCAAGCGAACACACACACATACATACAAACACACGCGCGCGCGCACATACTTGATGCATACATAATAATTAAACATGCAAGGCATTCACATCCATGAAAATACAAAATATTTTGATAGGTAATGTAATTAGGTAGAATATGAAAAAAAAATGTTTTTCTCCTTCTCAAGCGGTAGAAGATAGAGCTATTTAAATATTTTTATTGTTGTTGCGAGGTTCTCAGGTTCAAAATCACGTCCGCGAAAAATTCAAAGCCAACACAGACGTACAACGTGATACTTGCACTCGCATATAACATGCGTAATTGTATAAGTTGGATGTACGTGGAGTAGCTCTTAGGGCGAGTAGTTTTCCGTAATCGTAACGGAGTAAGAACATTTCGCAGGCGGTTTCGTCTTTATCAGATCTGAATGCCAATGGAAAGACGGAGCCACGCATACGTTAACCCAAATAAAAACACACATAAATTAACCGTCATCGCAGCAGAAAGAGAACATATATAATATAAAATATTCCGGGAAGAAAGCCCATAAACAGAGGGGATTTCACTTGAATTTCAAAGTATTCTAGCCGCCAAAACACTTGCACTCACATACGTTCGTTAACGCATGTGAAGAGTGACTTTTACGCAAATACACGCAACAAGCGTACAACAGTGCACAAGGCTAACAAAAAATATTGACAAACTTACACGTATATACACTCACGCAGTTAGATTCATGCAAATAGGCACACATACACATACGTACATGCAAGCAAATACACACACACACACACACACATCAGAGAAGTACTCACAAACAAACATGCATGAACTAGTTAGTGAATTCGTGACGGAGCAAAAATGTCGTACAGTATTTCAGAAATAATTCAATTTCGCAGATTAAATGGACAGTCTAAAAAAAGAGCTACCATAAAACAATAAAAACAATGATAATAAAAAATCAAAAGCATCAATGAAATAAAACTCATCAGTCTGTATGAAGTGATTTTTTCAAAAAATTTTGTGATAATAACGTGATAAATGAATGGCGATAATCTTCACCAACCCATTTAAAATAACGTTACCTCCAAAGTAGACAAACGCAAGCAATCTCATTTTCATTCTTACTTCTAAACTCTAAATTGCGAGATTTCCGCCAAATTTTTCTTAAAAAATACTGAAATGAAATCTTTCAAACGATTGGAACAGCTGAAACGCGATGCACGAGGACAAAACAAAATATTTTTCAACATTCTCGTATGAATAAAACGGCCTTTTATCAATTTACTTCAACAAAACAGAGAAAAAAATGTTTAATTTTAATTTAACTATGAAAACATATTAAAATTCATCATTCATTAAGTAATAAATATCAACATTTTTTTATCTATTTTATTTAATCAATTAAACAAAATTCTTTCTGTTCTTCTGCTAATTAGGACTTGGTCTGAATGAGGAAATATGATTAATTATATTATCATTAATTATCATCTCATTACTACCAAGCAACAAATGACAAAGAAATTAGGCAAAACAAAAAATGGAAATATGTGGCAGGAGCATTTGAAACAAAAATAAACAACAATTTTCTAAACCCTCAAAAGGCTTATTCAATAGAAAATTGAATTAACCTAGAAATCGTACAACAAACAAACGAACGAACGAACGATCAAACAAGTGAGCGGACAAACAAACAAAATAATAGAAAAAAGAAAAAGAGAAGTCTAAGCCGAATCACTCAACACAAACATCAAATGAATTAATGATGTTTACAATCATAAGATCAAAAAACGCTGGAAAAACATTTCTGAAAAACAATTTCCAAAAAAAACAAATTCTTAATCCTAATCTCTTGCACATGGAAGCAGGTAGGTTGTCATCAACATCATCAACAACAAGAAGCATACAAAATTGTATACAAAATACGAAAGAAACAAAGAAATTAGTAAGCAGCAAATGAAACACAACAAAAAAACACGAACAAAATAAACGAAAAAAAGTAATTTTCGCACCATACCATTCAAAAATACCAGAAAAACACCTCAAACCTTCCCACCGACAACCAATTTTTTGCCTCAAACTCACTTTGCCCATTCGACATTAAGGATGAGATGGTCGTAACCGAAGCCTGACACGCCAGCAATGGCTCTGGCTGCGTCCTCTTTGTGGTGAAAGTTGATGAACGCAAAGCCCTGTGGGATGGTGATAATAATGGTGGAAGGGTGGTTATATGAGTGTAGAATAGGTTAACAGTAGAAACAATGTGCACAATTATAATAATTACATCTATTTGTTACAAGTTTTCTTAGTTTCGATAAATATCTCTGTAAAATATTATATTATCCAACGGCAATGAGCGAAAAAGATACGAATCCAACAACATAAAATGCAATACAAAAATTAAAAAAATAAAATACAAACAATGCAAACAAAAAACAAAAGTTACATTCACAAAAGGATAACAGACAGGCAGATAAAGAAACAGACAGACAGAGAGACAGACCTTAGACTGGCCAGATAGTTTATCCTTGGCAAGGAAAATTCTAGAAATCTGGCCAAAGGGTCTGAAGAGGTCTTGTAAATCACTTTCCCTTGTGTCCTCGGACAGATTGGTCACACGTATGGTGGCTGAATCATCTGTGATGAGGATGATGAAGTAAATTGCAAAATAATGATGATTGCATAAGTAATGATTTTAATACAAACATAACCAGCAAACAAACAACCAACGCAGTACGGACAACAATCTATGACACAAAAAACTAAAAATTTTTCCAAGACTTAATCAAAATGAACATCTCCACAATGGACAACCCCAACAGACACAACACAAAAGAACCCACCTCCTCTTCCTCTGACAGACATCGAATCCCCCTTCTTATTTCCACCCTCTCTCAAACTTGGGGGCACGTACTTGCCGGGTTTAGCTCCGGGACCACTTGGAGCCTGGGAGCTCGGGCCGGCACCAGCTGGAGCTTGTTGCGGAGTATCTTCTGTCTTTTTACCTTCGAGGGTTTCTTGGAGGGGGGCCAGTCTCTCTTTGTAGGGGCATTTTGTCGTCCAGTGGTCGCCTTTACAGATCCTACACGACACCATTTTACCCTTCAATCGAGATAGTGGGTCATCTTCTGGCTCAGTCAACTGCGTGGGAAAAATAAATTTGAGAATATTTGAAAAAAATTAAATAAAATAAAAATTTAGGATTAATAGATGGATAATATAACAAAATTAAATAAAACAAATTAATATTTAAGACTTATAAAAAATTTAAATTCGAATGAAAGAAAAATAAGAAAGGATGATTCTTCTATCCATTTTTAGTAACTTTTGGTAAGAATTTCATGTAAACTGACCTCCTTGGCGTGGACGAACTGAAGAAATATGTCTTCAGAGATGACCGTATTTGCAGGATTCGGGCCTGGAGGATCATTCTTCGCATCACCAAACTTTTTCCATGTCTATAAAAAATTTCAATTATGTACACTCTTTATATAAATCACTAAGTCACTAAAAAATCTAACCAAAACTTTTTTCCATTCTAGTAAAATTTGAATTTTAAATAATTTTGTTAAATGATAAAAAACTAAAAGTGTCTAAGTTTAGTTAAATGATTATTTACAATGAATAAATTTTTATACAATTGAAAAATTTTTGTATGACCTTTCTTTTGGCAATGGTCTTTGAAACTTTGTAAGTTTCAACCTTGTATGTCTTAATAACCTGATTGAATAAATGTGTTTTCCATCTTTATTTGTTAACCAAATAATTATTTAAATATTTCTTAATTAAACAAGTTTATAAATCACATTGTTTTTTACATAATCTTAGTAATAAATAATCGAATTAATTAAAAAATTAAATATCCAGCAACACAATTTATAAAAAATTAACAATTTTATAAAAAAAATTATATTGACATATCAAATAATCAAGATTCTAGATAATAAATAAAAAGATACCTTCACTTTCTTGCCATCGTCGTTGATCTTATACTCAATGACTTTTTTAACACCGGTCTTTTCGTCGAATGTTTCAGTCGGAGGTGGTAGGGTGTCAGTGGGAGACAAAATGCCTCCTAAACAAAACAATTTAGTTTTAAAATTCATCAAAAATGTGTTTATATGTATGTGTTGGATTTTTATGTACAAGGTAGCCTATACAAGAATATCTTATTCGGTTTTGGACGACCAATTTTTATATTTTACGAATTTTTTTTTTGAATAAAATTATTATTAAATAAAAAATGGGTTGTTTCAGTTTAAAGTACTCTAATCACTAATCAAAATATTAATTAAGTTGAATTTTATAATAGTAATATAAGTTAAGTATGTCGGTCTAATTTTAATGAAACATGAGTATAAAATAATGAGCTGTTGAAAAATTACTATAACAATTTATTTAATTTTTAATAATTAAATTTTTTATTATGTTGAAAGATAAAAATAAAATATGTTAATCAAATCAGAATTCAATGAAATGAAGCTACCTTCATCTCCTAACTCAACTTGCTCCGCCCAGCTTGGCTTAACGCTGAAAAGTTATTTAAAAAATTCGTTTTAAATTAAATCTTTACAATATGGCTTAACTAGGGAAATTATAAATATGACATATTATCGCTCATAAAACGTAACGGACAGATACTCCTAGTAAATACTACTTAACCACTAATTTCATATCAAAAGACTATTTATTTATAAAATTTAAAGAAATTTTTAAATGAAAATTTTATCGGCTAACTCCGTCTGATCTTTACTTGGCATTTTCGAAAAAAACGAATACAAGTATTAACGAGAATTTACTCTATATATTTCATACGGTAGCGACCATTAAAAAGGCAAAGATATCAGAACAAAGACATTCAGGTAAAAATTTTTGGGTTGGGCTATTTGACTTGCTTGGATTGTTGGGTTATTGGCCTACTTAAGAAATTGCATGGTTTTTAACGAGCAAGCTTTATGAAATATTTACTTGACTTAATATGTTTAAAACAATGTAGTAATTTGTTGGCAAAGAAACGAACCGCAAAGAAAGTAACGGCAAAGAAACCAACAGGTAGGCGAAAAAAGAACCGCAAATAAAGTTCTCTATATAACTCTATATAATTCTATATAACTATATAATTCTATATAACTCTATATAATTCTATATAACTCTATATAACTGTACTGTCAATTAACCAGACAATCAACCGCTAAATCAATCAACCAACCAATCGACTAATCAATCAATCAACTTTATCAACGGACCAAATTGAATGAACCAAATGAATGAACCAAACGAATGAACCAAATTGAATGAACCAAACGAATGAACCAAATGAACGAACGAATTATGAAAAACGAAAAAAAAAAATAAAAAAGTAATTGCAAAGTTTGCTAAAACGCAGACAAACATTTAATTGTACACACAAACAATTTCGAGATTTTAGTAAGGAAATAAAAATACAACAGTTTGCTTTTATTTGATAACATTAAAAAATGAAAAATGACGGGAAAATTTTTAAAAAAGTCAATTTTTAAAAGTTCGGAATTTAAACAAACAAATATTACAAAATGTCGACCAATAATAAATAATTGTTATGTATTATTATTACTATATAAACTCCTTGGTAGTTCTCGGAGAATAATTCACGCAACATGAACATTTTGTAAAAACAGTTCACAGCATATCATAGCATATCATAATGACTAACTCAACATACCAAACAAAAATTATTTATACATGCATATATACAAAATAAATCACGAATTATCCAAAAACTATATAACCAAAGTAAAAAAACTAGAAACCAGTCAATATTTAACATATGAATAAATAAACATTATTTAAAAAATAGTTCAAAGATGTAGAACTCAAGGCGACGACGAAAAAAATATAATTTGTTTTGTTGGTGTGATGCTGTGAAACGAAAACAAACAAACACATCACAAAAAGGGCAGGGCACCAGATAGTAAACCATTGCAGTGCGGATAGTAGACTATTGCCGTGCGGATAGTAAACCATTTGCCGTCCGGAAGCCGTGCGGGTAGTAGACTATGGCCGTGCCGCATGGTAAATCATTACCGTGCAGATAGTAAACCATTGCCGTCCGGATAGTAAACCATTGCCGGTTCACCACTGGCCACCAAGGCTTACCTCTGACAACAGACTTCGAAATCCAGAGTCAATCGGCTATCGTACCCTCAACTTACCTATTTATTAAATTACGGCCATAGCTTACCTAAAATTACAAAACTCAAGAGCCCAATTCATTGGCCAATCGGCACCCACCCCACCACCTACGTAATTGCCTTAGGCTCCAAGCTAATAATAATAATATAAAACTTAATAATTAACCTACCTACCCACTTACAGCGTTTATTTAATTTACATATGGTACTCAAGGGCATAAAATTCAATAATTTGCTAATGGAAATATCAAAATTTGTCGTTTTTTGACATATAGTATCTTGAATATCAGTCTATCAGTAACTCACATGTACCAATGTGTGATACTGTTAAATGTGTTAAAGATCAGGATCTGACCGAGGCGGAAACTGTTACAGCTTGCGAGGCAGTAGTATAATATCAGCCTATCAGTAACTCACATGTACCAATGTGTGATACTGTATCATGAATATCAGCCTATCAGTAACTCACATTTACCAATATGTGATACTGAACACGTGCTATAGTTCGATACTTTTACAATGTGGCGCGGATTTAGTGAATTAAGAAGGTTTTTTTTTTATTATTCTTTAAAAATCAGGATCTGACCGAGGCAGAAACTGTTACAGCTTGCGAGGCAGTAGTATAAAATTGGTTGTTTGCTTCTAGATTTTATCTCTTGGGCATGAAATTGTATAATTTGTTAATGGGAACAACTACAATTTAACACATTTATACAGCATTACGTGCAATAAATAGTTATATAAATATCAAAGTTAGTTTTTCTTACTTCAGCAATATAACTTTCAACTTCTTAGAAACATATTGATGACATGTTTGACATGTTTGATGACATTGATGACATAAAACTAATTTTTGTGCCACTTTTTTGTAACTTTTCTCTTCAAAAATGAAAATATGAAATCGAATAACTCGCAGAATGTCAGAATGCTAGTTCCCAGCAGAAGATTCATCACTGAGCCGACCTCGCTGAACAGCACCAAGCCAGTAAGTGCTGGTTTCTGCTGAATCTTCTTGTACTTTATTTCCTTGAAGTACACGTCTATCTTTATCATATTATCTCTGAAATGTGATTGGTGAAAATCATAATTCATCATTTCAAATAAAACTACTTTTTAAAGTTCACATTGAAAATCGTAAGAAAATAAGTAAAGTAAGAAAATCGTCAAACGTGATAGATAATCAGATGGCAGTAGTGTGTCAAGGTAGGACGGAGAGGCGCAAAACTTAGGAGCGTCAGAGGGGATAAAATAAATATTAATAATTACACCTTTAATGTACTAATCAAAATAGATGATTATCATACAAACATAAGTAAGTAGTACGTAGATATTGGAAGAGCGTATACCTTATCGGTACGACCTTGATATACAATAATTTTTAGCTGTGCAATAGCGCTATGGCTAAGGTGCCTGACACAGCCGTAGAATGTGTGTCATACGATGATTCATTTGTATTGATGTCAGCTATGTTTTTCTCGACAGTTTTGGAAGATGTTAAGAAGAAATTGTGAAAAAAATGAAAAACTTGACACCTGAAAAAATTCTCATCCAGATCATGATCAACGGAAGTGGTGAGAAAAGTTTGTTTCAACTCCTCAACGGCTTTCATGAACTTTTTGAAACTCTCGTCAACGTTCATAAAGTGGGCAAATGTGGTTTTTTTGTAGTCATCGTATAGGGCATTCAATAAATTCATTGTATTTTGTTCACGATTCTTTTTCAACTTTTTCAATAAATCTTCCAAAGTTTTCTTTAGTGAGCTCTTTAGTTCGGAAACAAATAAATTAAATTGTTTTGAAAAATTAAAGATTAGCTGGTTATAATTTATTACAAAGTTTTGTTAATAAGTAATTGAAGTATGCAAATGTGACGTCATTTCAGATTCACAATTATTATATTTATTTATTTATTGTAAGTAACATTTAAGAATTTGATCACTGTAAACCATATAAAGTAAGGTAAAAAATATCCTTCTAGAAATCTATTTTAAAAAACTCAATTAAAAAATTCAACTTATTGAAAAGATATTATTTTTGAAAATTTTATTTTGGGATTTAAATTCATGAAAATCAACTCTTACACTGGCGAATCCGGTTCTATTTGAGCCAGCGAGAAACCTTGTATAGTTGAGTAGATACATTTGGTCCAAGATTGCATCGCTAAGAACTGGCACAGCGATATTTATCAGATGGTAGTAGGTTTGATTCATGTTATTGTGAAGATTTAAGGTCTGAATTCAAATTAGATTTTAAATAAATTGATAATATCATCAAACGATTTCAATCATCATTATTTTTTTTATTACGAACAACAATTGTTACACTCGAAGAGTTCTCTAAAAGAAACACCCATTATTATTATCACCATCATCATCATTATTATTATTATTAAAATTATTATTACTATTATTACTTACTATTATTAATTTTTATTCTATTTTTCTATTAATATCACTATTTTTATTGCTTTTAATTATTGAAAATCAATATATTTCAATATTTCTTAGATGAAAAACAAGAGTAGAAAAGACGACAAATTTGTCTTGGCAGCCAGTTTTTAAGATTCATTTAAATTCATGTTGGGTGATTTAAATATTGAAAAAGTAATCTATCACAACTGAAATACAAAATGTCTTGATATTATAAACTCTATTATAATGAGTTATGAAAATCGTTTTTCAAAATATTAGCAGATTACATAAACACCTTTACCTTTTGGTAAAGCTGATCAAAATCTCCGACGAAATTCATATAATCTTCTTGCATGGATTCCAACAATCCAATCGACCCGTTTTCAGGGAGTGTGAGAAAGTTGGAAAACATCTTCTTAGTCATGTTCGCCACTAGGAATTTCTCAATTTTTTCATATATAACAGCGTAATGTTTCTTAAAACCTTTTATAGTTTCGTTGATTTTTAATGAAAATTGTCCCAATGTTTTAGCCGCATCCAATTCGAGGATGGAACTTTCTGAGGCTTTCATGTAAGCTTCAAACATAGCGTAATGTTTATCTAGAGGAATTTCTTTCTGTTTCTTCGTTGGAGTTTGGGAGTCTAGAAAAGGCCAGCGACATTCTTCAAAATTGTGTCTGTTGTAGAGACTGGAGTTATCAGTCTCCAACCTGAGAAGAAAGTAACTGATGGAGTTGAAGTTCTGCAATTTGTTAGTCCAGCTGGAGAAAGGATGGAGGTATGCATTTATCGGGCCGATATAAACCTGATTGGTGACGAATTCCCATCTTGCGTAGAAAAACAAATCATCCAGACACCTCATTTCATCTTCACTATTCAAGTAGGACGACCAACTCGTTCCAGAGAGTACCTCACGAGCAACCTCCATTCGATCTTGCTTTATACCGCCAACGTTTTTTAACACTTTGTCTTTAATTTTCTTGGCGTATATAATATCAATGAATTAACGAGAAAATTATAAATTAATTCTATCTAGTTTAATGCTATATACACACGCCAGATGTTACTTTAACATTGTTTAATGGGCGACGCAATGATGTGAGGGTTAACGTGCCTGGCACTGCTGTTGTAGTGACTGGATTCGAATGCCGAAAGATCCCAGTCTATCACAGTAATGCGTGTGGTGCATTGATTCACGTGTATTTACATGTGTATGTGTTTGTTGTTGGTATTTCTTGGAAATACAAAAAAAAAATAAATACAAATTGGTAAAAGAAAAAAATGCTATACGAGCGAGTTATTAAGCTGCGTCTTCCTTAAGCCGAGAAACGTTTCTATATCCTGATCGTCGCACGAATAAAATTCGTCCCATTCCGATTCATCGTCGCCATCAGCCTTCCCAATATTCGATCGGCTTCCATACTTCACATCCCGATCCCTAGCATCCTCGCTGTTTACATTTTCATCGATGACGTCATTGTTGTTGTTGTCCTTCGGCTGAATATCAAACTTTGAGATGTTGCTTTCCTTAGTGGAGCACAGCTCTAGCAACTGCTTGATTGTCGGTTTCGATTCCGATTCGGTCGAGTCGTCAGATAAGAAGGTCTGCACGTAATTGGGTCTGTGACTGTCGACAAATTTGAATTGTACAGGGTAGGGCTTTTCGGTGAACGCGCACAGCAATCTAAAAATGTTTGTTTCATCATTTTTTTTCTGTTCTATTCTTAATAATACTTTACCGTTACCACTATATCTTTAAGCTGATTATTGTTATTGGTGAATAATTTTACTAGACAGTATTATCATCTATAACTCTGTAGATGTGTTGTTAAATAAACCATATTAATAAATGAAAATTGACCTGAATGTATGGAGTATTATTTGATTGATTTTTATTAAAATTAAAATACACCGTTATTTTCTGACGATTTTTGTTTAAAAAGTTTTAAATATGATATATATGGTTTATTGTACAACAAATTTAAGTTTATTTATATATTAATACATAATTTTTTTTAATTTATATAAATTATTTTAAACTAACTATTTAAATTAATGTCTATATATACTTATTTTAAATTTATATTAATTACAAACATTGATGGTTAATCACTAACTTGACGAAATTATTAAACTGGTGAAGGTACGGAATGTTTCTCATAACAAACTGCAGTTTTCTTTTGTATTCATCGTTAAGTAGTTTGAAATCGTCCCAAAACTGCAAGCCATTCAACAAGATATCGTGAAATGTGCTGGCAATTTGAGGTTCTGTCAGATTTTTCAATTGATGGGAGTCCACAAAAATTGTGTTGGAAGTTTTGGAAAGTGTTACAGCGGTAGTGGTGTAGTTTTTGTAGTTGTCGGCGTGGCTGTTGACGATTTTGTCGTTACTGTCGCTGGCGTTGTTGAAGATTTTGTCGCTACTGTCGTTGACGGTGTTGATGCAGTCGTCGTCGTGATTCATGCAGCTAAATATGTGTAGTGAATAAAAATTTTTAATTTAGGAAAAGCAAACATTCAAGAATATCTGTTTTCTAACAAAATTTTGCGGTTTTTACTTGAACTATTTGATCAAACTACGATTTTTGAATATTATATATAAAGTGTCAATAATTGTCGTTTTGAAAAAAAACATATGGCCCATAATCGCATAGCATCAAGTTAATAATTTTAATAAAAACTTTGATAATAATAATAACATACAATGTTAACAGATAGGTGTATTAACTTAAATCCATATCACCACAAAAACGAACATGTTGATGTCGCCATCGTCGACTGTCTGAAAGAAGAGGAACATGCGTTTCAAATTGGATTCATAGTTAGTGGCTAGTTGAATGATTTCGAGGGCTAACATTTTTTCTGTGCTTGCTGCATAATCTTTCACGCTGTCCTCCGCTTGTTTGGCCACTTTGAATTTCGATCTCAAGCTATTGTCTGTTTTGCGGTGGGTTGGTTTAGTTATTTCGCTTAGCCTCACGAAGAAATAAATAAAGAATGAATAATTAAATGAATGTATAGACAACAAGTATATAAACAAATAGATATATGAAAGATAAATAAATAAACAGAAAAATGAGAATGTTGAAAAAAAATGTAAGAACGTGGTCTGACATATATCAGGATTGTTGACCCTGAACCTCTCAAGATCGAGTTTGGCGAGTTTAGCGAAGGAAACCTCTTCCACGTAGCTGGTCCGATAGCAGGGCACCAGACATTCATCCATCAAATCGTTGATCACGTTTTCCGCGGGTAGAGAATCTTCGACTGTTGTGTTAGTTTTTTTTTATTATTATTCTTTAAAAAAATCAGTATCTGACTGAAGCGGAAACTGTAATGAGCAAGGCATGAATATAAAACAAAAGCTATTAAAATATTTTGTAAAAAATTTAATGAAAAAACTGACTAGATATTATTTATGCAGACCATTTATCCTGCCAGTAAAAAAGAAATTAATTTTCACAAAACGTAACGCCGAGAAAGAAAAATAAATGGAACTAAATTAAAATTGAAAAGACTATATCATCATCATCCATCAACATCTTTCGCATCAATATATTTTTTATAGCAATCATTTTTAAAACTCGCTTTGTGGAGTTGTTCATTATTAAATTTGGTTAAATAGATTTCAAGAAAATTTTTTTAACTCACTATCGCTTTCAAGTTTTGAACACGCAAATGCTGACGAGAGGTTACACAAGGGTACATTCGGAAGGTCTCGTAGGATAATAAATTCAAGATTTTAAGTGTTTAGACATGTTTTCAGTTTGTTTCAAGAACATTTATCTTTAATCAGATGAAAATACCTAAAAAGAAACTTAGTAACTAACGGTTACCAAACTCCAGAACATCCAATCCTTTGCAACCGCACTTTTCGGCCAATTTTTTAAATTTAGCTTTCGCCATACAGTTGGCTCTCGGTAGGGCCTGGTTGATGCAAAAGCCATGAGGACTCGGAAGACTTTCTGTGATTGTGGGTGTTATTCCGATGAGGGTGTGAGTCCCCGGTGGCACGGAATTCCCCAACTCGTTCATCAGAGGGCTTTCGTTTTGCGGGTGGATGAGAATTTTCACCCCGATGTCACCCTGAAGTTTTTGTACGTATTCGTAGTTTTCCACATTCAAGATGAGCTGGAGGGAGTATCTGGCCCCTGCAATGTTTCATGTATTAAATTTCGGTTTCGTTTCCACGTTGTTATAGTCAGCAGTATCTTAATAAAGTTTTGAAATCGCAATTAATTTAAAATAAAACGCAAAACAAAGAACACAAAACAAAAACAAAACTTTAACATCTTAAAAGTTCAAATAACGTGAAATAAAATCACAAATTTTAAAATAGAAAAACCGCAAAATGGAAAAAACCTGGCTGGTAGACTTTCTTAACGTTGCTAGCGTTCCAGTTGAACGTGTAACAGAGGGTGAACAGGTCGGTGAATGTCGATTTGAAGTCCTCATCTATCTGGCATGGCTCGCTGGACCAAGTGCAACTATTGGGGTATTAATAATAATTACGATAACAATTGTAATAATTATGATCATAATTATAATAATTAAAATATAAATTATAAAATTTAAAAACCTTTGAATCAAATCATCCCTCTGGTGACTCACGTTGTATGCAAACTTCGTATAATTTTCGTCTACTATTTTTTGCATCAAGGCGAGGTTATTTGCTGATCAAATTTTATAAAAAAAACTAACAAAAAGAGTAAATTTATATATTTTCCTTTGCTTTACTAATTGTTTATTTCATTATATATAGGTAATGTTAAAACTAAATAAATTTAAAACTGTATACAAAATCATACCATTTCCATTGTTTAATGTGGTGTCCTTCAAGTGCTTCATTACAAACTCGTAAGTGTCCGAGTTTACGACAGACGACAAACGAAACTGATTCTGATTGCAAATGGTGACACTGGGGAATTCCAGAGAGTTGTTATAAATAACTTTGACGTCAACGTTCGTTGGGTACCCGGCGTAGTAGAGGTAGCGCTGAATGGAGTGGTAGAGAAAGAGGCAGGTACTGGTTAGGACTGCCAGCAGTAAGATGGCCCTGAGACGGATGGAGATTGGTTGAATTGAATGGATTGGTGAATTGATGGGTGAATGAATGGATGAATGAACGAACGAACGAATGAACGAACAAATGAATGAATGAACGAATAAATAAAGGAAAAAACGAACGAATAAATGTGTTGTTACGAGAGAGTTTCACACAAATATAAATTGTAAAACCAATGAATAAAAGTTACATAACAGATATAAATATAATGAGCAAATGTAAATAGCAGAGTAATGAAATCAACAGAAATATTTCTCTATAGCAAGACAAATGAATAAACTTTCAAACAATAGGAGAACACCTTCGAATTTTATAGAGCCTTCCATCTTGGTCTCTGAAATGGAATATTTTGAATCCGTGCAGTGTTGTTCTTTTGGCGAAATCCACCCAACTAATTTTACCAGTCTTAACCTCTTCACTACATTCGTTTTCGGCCGTGGTATTTCGGGTTTTCTGGCCTTTTCTGGAATTTTTCAAGGATGGTTTAGTGGTTTTTGGATTTGTGAAAACACTTTCGCCGACTGGGATTTTCGTTATATTCTCATCGCTTTCGGTTTCTCTATCACTGACATCAAGTGCATATGCATGCGCTGCTTGGTGAGTATTTATTGGGATTAGGTAGATGTTCTGGTAAGGACTGACCAGTGAATAGTAGCTCGGTGGGGCCTCTTCTTGGCTTTCCATAGTTAATTATTCAATATACTTTATTCGGTGAGATGTTCTTCAAATCGATAATTCTCAATTCGATGTATTCATTTTTACAAACTTTTTGAGAAATATTTAAAAAAAATGTGGAATCATCTCGACTTTCGACTTTGATATAGTACATCAAAGAAATTTATACAAAAAGATCAAAGCACTAAAATGTAATAAGCTCATTCATCTTTCGAGTGTGGCCCTTGTGAGGTTTTATCAAGAATCGTATAGCGAGGTGAAGATGATTTGAAGAAGTGAACTGAACATGAGAATTCAGCAGATGTCTTTTTATTATGTGTACTTCTGCTGTTTGTGTCTCCGTGTTTTGTATGTATGTATGTGTGTATGTGTGTATGTATGTGTGTGTATATTTTTGTAGGTCTCTTTGAGAATGTTCGTGTATATATTTGTGAGTCTCTGTCTATATGTGTTTGCATGTGTTTGTGTGTATGTATATGTAGGTGAGTGTGTGTGTATGTGTGTGTGTGGGTGTGGTGTGTGTGTGGTGTGTGTGTGTGCCTGTGTGATCGGTAGAAGATTCATAAATATAAAAAGAATGTAAGAAAAAAATGCACCTGATAAAAGTTATTTACGACATCGTAGTAAACACAAACAAGAAATTTCAAATTGCGATAATAACTGCTGCTAATGTTACAATAACCACTTTAGACATTGTGTTCAATGTATCTTCATCGTCATTTTTAACTGGAATATCCTCCATTCGCAAACCACCAATCATCAATCCCAATAGCTTGAATCGCAAAGAAAGTTACTAAAAATTTTTTTATAAAAATTAGAAAAAAATTACAATTGTAATAGCGCAGGACTAATCAATCAAACAAAAGACAATAAAAGATTCGAGATGTCGTACAATACATGAAGCAATTGCAGGTTAATGTGTGTATAAAACATGTGCCTAACACCAAACCAGGGATCAAATAAGCTAAAAATTAATGTCCAACAACAGCAACAGCAACTAAAGTAAACTAGCATACAAACAAAAACAAACAAACAAACAAATAAACGAACAAACAAATAAACGAATGAATGATGGAGCCACCGACAAACGAATTAGGAAAGACTTACGGGCGTCGATCAAAGGGTTATAAACCTGTCATGAAGAACTCAAGTACGTAAACATTTGGATGAATGCTAAAAAATTTCTACAAATCTCTCTTCAATATTTTTTGAAAGTTTCAACAACAAACACACACACAGTGTATGTAAGTGCGAGTGAGTGTACTCATTCAGAACATTGCATGTAACAGGTTGCGTTCGAACTAGGCTACTGCAACAGAACAGCCAGACACTTTAGCCATTACACTATCTTACATGTTACAAGCTCAAATTATGACATGACCTTTGACACTTTCTAGATTCGAAATCCACCAGACCTTCCGCTGATGACAAAAGATATTCCCATGTACCATCGTTACTTGTGGCAAAACTGAAAGGTCTGTCTCGCCTTCTTTATAGCATACGTTTTTGTATAGATCATAATAGAAATTATGTTATTGCACAGTTATTTATTTCTTGAACGTTATTCGACGTTAATTTTTACTATTCGGAGTTGATTTTTGATTAAGACGGCTAAGTTTTAGAAGTGTTGTAATGAGCTGCATTACTATTCAACGACCAGTTTAAAATTTAGAAAAATCATAATTAAATTTAGAAGCGTTTAAATTGAATTCAGCCATACAAACTTTGAAATATGAATAAATTAAACATGTATCTAAACAAAAATACAATGCTTGCACATTCGAAATGGAAAATAAAATCCCACAAGACGAACGACAGGCAGAATCGGAAAACATCGAATTACTAGTGATCCCAAATGTTTCCGACAACTCGAGTGTCGTTGCCAGCCTATCAAAAGGTACGACCATAAATGTTGATTCCGATACAAGAAAGATAGCATTCGGAACCATGTTATCCATCTATCACGATATGACGTTCAAGAAGAAGTGTCTCTACGTATTCGGCCCAACTGCTCTCGTGTTTATATTTAGTTGGTTCATCGTCTCATATTTTATATTCGAGTTTAGATTTAAGATTATTTTTTGGTTGGCAAGATATTTTTATTCTAATTGGACTTTGTTCAATAATTATAATTTAATGGTTTGATTGCTAGTTGGGTGGTTTTATATAGTATCGTGGATGTTGCTTAAAAATATGGATGGATGGATTCATGTTTAGTCAATATTCAGAGACGTGAAAAATCTGCTGTAACCGTTCAAATTTATTAAATATTTTTTCAAAGAAATTTAAAAATTTACTAGTTTTAAATAGTATTTTTTTCATTTTAAAATTTATTAGTTTTAAATAAATTTAAATATTTTTCAAGTTTTGGGATTGATCCTTGTTAACGTCTTCGTGGACCGAAGAAGTGAGATTGAGTTCCAATATGGTAATATGGGATCTTTTTTCCAAATAATTTTTTCAGACCTAAACAATCCATCAAATTAATTAATTTATTAAGTAAATAAGTAATAATAACAATTAGTATAAGTTTAAACAAAACTGTTTAATAATTTTAATAATCGTCATTACAATAAACACAATTCAGTCGAAGATGAAGACAAAATCCCAAAAAATGAAACAGCCGTCCATAAAAACGAAACGAAGAGGAAAGGCACACCAAAAACAGAAACTGTAGCGGAGCGGGCGATGGAGTTGGCTGAAGATAGGAAAGGTGATAAATGCTCCGACGCCGATGTCCACTTCTACTGCCCTCTCTCGGGCGTGTGCATCAGCAAAAAATTTGTATGCAACCTCTACGAAGATTGTCTGCACGGCGAAGATGAGTTGAACTGTAATTGCAGCGACACTGATTTTGAATGTCGTGGCGGCAAGTGTGTCAGCCTCATGTTGACCTGCGACGGCGTCAACGACTGCCCTGACGGCGATGATGAACGCGACGAATTTTGCGACTCGAGTCCAAAATCCGAATGCGAGAAAGCCGGAAAATTTTGGTGCGGAGACATGTTCCTTGCCGATTGCCTCGACATGGAGCATCGCTGCGACGGAGTGCGATTTTCATGCGGAGTCAATAAGAAACACGACGACGAGGCGAATTGTTTGAATTTCGATAAGCCGGTGACCGCAACGTTCAAAGGTGAATCTGGCTTTCGTGTTTGTGCCGATGGATGGCAAGGCAATGGTTTCGCTGACGTTCTTTGCGAGTGGGGCGGTTACTCTGGCCTGCAAACTAACGGTGTTCTGTTTGGAGACGTGCCAAGTAACACACAAAGTAAAATAGGTTCCGACGGTAAACTTGTTGAGAAATATATTTTTGTGAAAAATTACAGTCGTTCATTTGATGGCGAAATGAAGCAGATAACAATTGAATCAAGTAGCGGATCGATGACAACGTTGAAAACGTGCAAGCGACAACTTGAAGAATTGAAATGTAGCGAACATTTTTGTGGAACCCGCGATAAATCACACGGAAACCTATCCGGATACATTATTAAAGGAACAAACGTTCTTCAAGAAACTCAGTGGCCCTGGTCTGCCAGCATTTTGACCAACAAAGATGGTCGACCTTACCGGTGTGGGGGGAGCATTCTGTCATCCAGGTTCATCCTGACGGCAGCCCACTGCGTCACAACCTTCCTCAACACAACCACCGGACCAAACGGAAAGGACTACGTTGAAGTTGATATCGAAAATATTGACGTCACATTCGGTCAAGTTTATAAAGAAATCACGGATTATACGGATTTTGAATGGATTTTTGACGATTTTGAAAAGAAAAGCAGTCAAATAAATAAATTGCATATCCATGAAAACTACTCAGACGAAATAAAATACGATATTGCCGTTATAGAACTAAACAGCGCCATTCCATTCAGTCCTGCAGTAAAACCGATATGCCTGCCCCCTGTCGACATGCCCCTCAATTTGTACCGACTCTGTGTAGCGATCGGACACGGCTTGACGAGTGGGGGCTTTCCATCTCGGAGGTTGCAGCAGGTCAGACTCATGCCTTACGCTGCTTCCCTTTGTTCATTTAAATTAGGAAACGTTTTCGATCCGAGCCACATGCTGTGTGCTGGAACGTATGGAGGTGTTGAGAACATTTGCTTGGGTGACAGCGGTGGGCCACTCATGTGCAAGCACTACGAAAAGGACGTCTGGTTCGTTGAAGGAGTGAGCGGGTTCACCACGGGGTCTCAAAGTTTTGTCGAATTGTTGGAGGAGGGCAGCCCTATGAAGAGCTGTGAGAGTGGGGTGTACACTAGGGTGGCTGTATTTAAGTCTTGGATCGATTCTGTTATTGGAGGTGGAGAGTGATGATTCTTATTTTGGTGATGCAGTATTATTTATGATTGATGAAAGTTTTGAATTAATGCCTGAACACACTTCCATTTAAATTGTAGAAATGCAGCTTTATTGCAAGTGAAATGAATAATAATATAAATGCACAACGACGAATGAATAATTAAACATATAACTCCAGCAAAACGTTCACGTCTGTAGCTGTGAAATGGGCAAAAATTGAAAACTTTTAAGTGAAGAAAAGTTGAATCACATTGTTCGGTCGTTGCGGACATGATTATGAGAGAAACTTCATCATTAGCGTTCATTATTTTCGGCAAAATATTCATAAGTATGATTATTTTTTAGTAAACTGTTTATAGATTAATAAATATTTCACTAATCAAAGTTTCTAAAAATTGCGTTATTTTTCATTAAATTGTCGACAATAAAAAATGCAAAAAGTCTTACTGTACAAAATTTTTTAAAACAAAAAAAAAAAATCTAAAATTCTATCCGTATGAAACTAGACAGAAAGGTTATAACACCGTCTGATAGCAAGCATCATCGCCACTGACGAGATTATCATTGGAAATTGTGATAAACGCCTTGTTGATCATTCCTTCGTTGTCTTCCTTACTCAGCGATAGCTTGCGTTTCGTTTTAACAGCAACAACATCGTTGCAATAACAATTCTGTATGTCGCCATTCATTTCTTCGTCAATAACTTTTTTATTATCTTTGGTAACTTCCACGACGCTTTCGTCATCAATGATGACTTCATTCTCGGCGACGGTTTTTTGTGGCTGACCTGATTTGCTCGATAGTTTGTCGCAGCATTTGCACTTGCTGAAGATTCTGTCGTAAGGTTCTAAGGATCGAAGAGGTTTCGGTAAAAAGTTCCACGTTCTTAAAAATTTTGGCAGCCAGTTGGGTTTCTTTCTCTGCAAAACGTTAACGACGATGATGAAAGCCAGTAGGATTAGTAACGGTATGCCAATTCCCATAAAGACTTGAGGGCCAGCTAGCGATAATCCAAATACGAATAATGGGAGGATGCCGAACATCCCGAACAAATAGAGCAATGCAAACCAGCGGTACTTGGCCGTTATGTTGCCGAGTTCTTTAGCTATCGGAATTGGTACCCTCATGAATGGAATCGGAAAGTATAAAATGATTCCACTGATGTTGAAGAAGAGATGGCACAGAGCTATCTGAACAGTGTAGCGTAATCTTTCAGAATCTGCAGTGAATGCAGCCAGCATGGCGGTAACCGTAGTTCCGATATTCGAACCGAGAGTAAGTGGATATACTCGTTCGACGGTAATGAGACCCATTCCTACAAGCGGGGTCAGAGCGGATGTGAAAACGGAACTGCTTTGGAAGAGAATAGTGATAAGCATACCGACGATCATGACGATGTAGCCCGTGAAGTAGGAGCACTTGCCTGGCAGGTCTGCGTTCAACGAGCGTCTGATCACGCCTGTCATTGGACCTTTGAAGAGCGAATTCAAAACCTGAAAAAAATAATTCAAAAATTTTGTGTTACAGAGAAGATTATTTTTTTAAATAATTTTTGATCAGTTGTAACGTGAATAAGAACATAATAATGACTATCTTTAAAAATGCTACGACAAAAGATTAAATGATATAAATGTTAAATAAAAAATAGAAAAAAAAGAAAAAATGTTAGTAAAAGTTTCATTTGCATACCTTAACTAACAAAACGAGACAAAACGTCATAGCGAGCAGCGAGGCGATGAGAAGGATGACACCAGAGACCACTTCGCTAATGTAGCCCTCTAAACCAGACCCGACGAATATGTGCTTTGCTGAAAGGTTACAAAATTTGTTTATTTTATAAATCAGGTTTTTGTAAAATAATTGAATAAAACGGTATTATGTAAAGGCGTGAAATTCTAAATAAATAATGCGATTTATTTTCAATTTTTTCTAATTTAATTGTAACTCTTTATGACTAAAACATTTTGACAAAAATTTGTTTAGACGTTTAAAGGTTTTATAAAAAAATTTTTACAATTTAATTTGTGGACAATTTTTTCAGTGAAAGATTTACCTTTCGTTGAGTTATTTTCCAGAACTCTCGTAAAATTGAGGGAACTCATGTTACTGTTGAGGTCTTCTTCGTATTTTACATTGTACGTGAATACAGACTCATTGGCTTTCTTCCATTCAATCATTCCATTCTCTTCAAAATTTTGAAGAAAAAAAAATCAAATCAATTGAATCCGCAATTCATCTCAAATTAAGAGAAGAAAATATAAATAAAAGTGAAAATATAAAAATAAATTAACAATTTAATCACATTTCAAAAAATATCTAATACAAATATATTATCAGTCGAAAAATAAACCGAAGGCAAGCAAAAAGAAAATGAACCAACCAATCGACAAGTTCAGCTTTTTGTGCTCCAACACTTCTTTTTCCCAATACTTGGCCAGAGGAAATTTTTGTCTATCTGATTTCTCAGCGATGGCTGTTATAACCTTTTTATCCACCTGTGTTTATTTAATTTCAGTAGACGTAAAACATACAAATGAGACTTATACAAAAAGACACAAACCACAACCACACATACAATACAATACAAGGCAGTTAGAAACTAAACATACCTGAATGA